GTAAAACATTCTTTAACATGGTCAGAGTATAAAAAATGTAATACACTTAAATATTTAATATGTTGCACACCTGATGGTATCATAAATTATATCTCTACAGCATTTGGGGGTCGTACATCTGATGCTGTCATTGCAGAACATAGTGGTTTTTTTAAATATTTTACCTCCAAATGTTGCTGTTATGGCAGATAGGGGATTTAAACATATTGACCATTTACTTACGTCTAAAGGTTGTGTCCTGATTAGGCCCCCGAGTGTCTGTATATATAAAACCTAGTAAAGAAGAGGTATTTGAGACCAAACAAATAGCTAGCTTGAGAATTCATGTGGAAAGAGTTATTCGTAGATTGAGAGAATTTTCATTTTTAGCACCACATGCATGTATTGATAATAAATTGTTGTGTTATTCAGATAATATTATCAAAATAGTGTGTGGATTAATCAACTTGCAATCAGGAATAATTTCAGGACAGTAACTTTTTGTAGGTTTTACTTTTATACTTTGTAGGTAGTTATTTAGTTTTAGAATGTCTTTAAGAAAATGGTTAGTAAAAACCTGATATTTCATCTTATTAATATTTGCAATATATATTATGTTCAATAAAATATAAGCAATAAATGTATGCAAGTAACATTTATTTTGTTTTATTTCACAATTACACCAGATTCCCAAATGCATCTATCTAGGGATTGGTCAAGGTCAAACACAATAAAAGTGATTTAATAAAAACAAATTAAACTAATATAGTCGTGCAAGTGCTTTTATTAATCATGCCTTAATTATAGGTACATACCCACATTATACTTTATATATTTATATATCATATAGATAGATAGATCTTTATTTAAATAGAAAACCTAATATACATACAATATAAATATAAAGAAAGTACACTATAAATGTTTGATACATATATTTTATATTGTATAAGTAACATTTTGAAATTATTGAGACTAGTACATTTTTTTACAGATGTTGGTAACTGATTAAATTTAAGGAAGATTTTAAAAAAGAGCAAATTCTTTGTACTTTTATACATAGTTTTAGTTACATATACTTACTTTCTGAATTTTATTTTGGTACCATGGAGGCATTTTACTTGGCGAGATGTTACCAAAATAAAATTTAAAAAATTTGGAAAAACTGAATGTAAACACCAGTTTCGCATCCAAATGTTAAATACAAAGTGAAACTGATCGTGCTGTATATAAATATATTATCATTTTTTGAATGAGTTACATAAATTTGTAAATATATTATATTGCCAGAAGTTTTCTGCAGCATCCATTAACATCTTTATGTATTCTTCATCATATGGTACCCATATATCAAAAAATTTTAAATTTTCCTCATAATCAGGATCTGCAACACAACATAATGCTTTTTGTTTCTTACATAGAAACATCTGTAGCTGCACTTGAGCTTTGTATTTTGCTGTAATTTCCATATTTTTTGTTAAATAGTTACAAATAGATTTCTCAGATTGAGGACATTTTATTTCAACTACAAATTCTTCAGATATAGCATCTGGAGAAGCCCCAAATATTGGATGCCTGTGATTTAATTGTAACCCAATATGACTGAGTTTTATCTTTAATTTTTTTTTCTAAAGCTTTAATTACAGCATCCTCAAGCCTTTTCCCTCGAGACATGGCTTCTGTAGCAGGAAGTTTGGTTACACCAAGTATTTGGTTAACCAGGGAACCATCTGATTTTTTCAGTGTGCTGCATCATAAATCTTTGATCCAGTTATTATTGCATATCGCAGGTCAAACCATAAACCGGAATTAGACTGTTCAATGGTTATTGCTGCAGAATTCTAGAAATTCTGAAAAATTCAGTGCCATTTCGGAAAAATCATTTCTGCTAACAAAATTTAACATCAATTGATGTAGTCCAAGATGTAAAATTCTGTTAGGCTTGAAGTGTTTCAATAGTTGACTCTCAACATTATGTTCTAGTCCTTGGTTCACAACTTCCTGTAAAAAGAGTGAGCTTTCTTCATCTGAGCTCAGTTCTTCTTGTGCTCCAAAATCCTTCAAAGTTAGGTATTTAACTGAAGTTCCAACTTTGGAAAGTTTACTCTTTGCCCAGTAACAAGCAATTTAATTTGAAGAAGGTTCTTCACTCCTTCTGTGAAGCCCACATCAAGAGTGCTATGGAATGCTTACACCCACCTAAAACAAAATAAATGCTATACTTATAAATTATACCCAAAATTAATATCATTTCATAGTATGTATTTGCTATCCTTTATGTTCCATATTACAATTAGATAGGAAGCATTTAAAATGTGGACATATTGAAGAATTTCCTGGATAGACAGAATAACCCATGAAGAAGCACTAAAAGAAATAGAGATCAAGCAGGGAGATACTGGATTCCATCAAAATAAGAAAACTGCAATACTTGGGTCATACTTATAACAGCAGGTGGTGACAGATATGAACTCCTAAAATTAATAATGCGGGGAAAGATTCAAGAAAGATGCAGCATAGGTAGAAAAAAAAATGTCCTGGCTGAGAAATCTCAAAGAATGGATTGGATGCAGCTCAAATGAACTCTTTTGGGCTGTATAGTGCCAAAAGTTAGAATAGGCATTGATGATGGCCAACCTTAATCGCGGAGATGGCATTTAAAGAAGACATTCCATAAACATAAATAGTTTTTAAATAGCATCAAAGACATATAAAAAATAATTTTAGTCTTAAAATCGTAGAATCTCAATATACCTATGCATGACTAAAACTAATCTGATATTTACGTAGTAAATTTTTTATCATATTTAACACCTTTTCACGTTCCTCATCAATATTGCAAATTACAGCATATTGTGTTTTCCTCACATTGTGTTCAGATGTTACTTTAGCTTTAACTGTGCACACATTTTTATCCCTTCGAACTTGCACCCATCCAACAGCAGAGTCCCCATAAGAAGGCCTAGCGGATTGTGCCTAATATTTTCATTTCAAGTAACTAAAAATATATTGTCATTTACACTTCATATTATTGCTTATTATTCACAATTATCCATATATTATTCACATAACTTATTATAATGATGTTAATACTTTAACTCTCTTATTAATAAACATGGACTAACCTTGGACTAACATTAGTCCCAGGACTACACCAATAATATTCATTTTTCGTATTAATAAACAGAGACTAAGGACAGACTAAGCTAAACCTTGGCTAGTCTCGGACTAACATTTAATCCGAGGTAGTGGCAGGTTTAGAGAGTGACTAACTTGACAATTGACATTAGGTGACATGAGTTTTGGTATTCATAACCTGAATTGTTTTTGATTATTATTATTTGATTATTTAATAATGGAAGATTATTTTATCAACGATTTAAGATTAATAGAACAACTTAATGACCATAGAAATCAGCGAAATAATATTCATCTAAGACATATTAAAATATATAAAATTAGAAAAAATCCTCTAGAAGAATTAGAAGAAAATGAATTTAAGTGCAAATATCGCTTTTCAAAAGCTACAGCAGTTTTTATAATAGATATGCTTAGAGATGATTTATCTGGTGATTCCAGAGGTGGACATATACCTCCTCATTTAAAAGTTTTGTCTGCAATAAGAACTTGGGCCCGTGGAGAAGTAAGTGAAATTTTTATTAAAATTATTAATAAAAGTATATCTATATTACATCTAGTATTGTTAACTTTTAGTTCTAAATATTTATTAGTTACACTATAAGCTCAGCAAAATTTAATTTCTAAATTGACTGATTACATTTTAATTTCAACAGATTCAAGATGATGCTGGAGATATTAGTGGTATAAGTCAGCCAGCAGTCTCCATTGTTTGTAAACAAGTGGCTTTAGCTCTGGTACAGCATAGAGCTCGTTGGATTAAAATGCCAGAAAATGATTTGGAACAAAATGCCACAATTGCAGGTTTTTATGCAATATGTGGATTTAGGCAAGTAATCGGAGCTATTGACTGCACTCATATAAGAATACCAAAAGTTAGTGGAAACATTGGACAATATTACATAAATAGAAAAGGATATAGTTCAATAAATGTACAAGTAAGTTAAGAATAATTCTAGGCTAATTTGGTCACTTACTAAATTTATTGTATATGTCAAAACATAAGTCACCTTCTGGGCTTATATACAATAATTTTAGCAAAAAAAACAACAAGAAAGTTTCAAAACCACTTGCTGAATGTCTAAAATTTATATATTTTTAAAATATACAAAACCCTGTAGATGTTCAGTGTGGTTTTATTTCTAAATCTAAAAACTGTTTCACTGTGACATATATAAAGTCACATATGTTAAACAGCTGTGACAAGTTATAAATAGAATGCTAGTGAAAATCCAGAAATTTGTATTTTTTAATTTATTTCAAAGATAATATGACTGGAATTACTGAGCTGTTTCATTCACTTATTTACTAGTATGTAATACTATTTTACTCTATTTCAAGACATAAATGTTTGTTTTCTTTTAGGTTGTGTCCAATGCAAATTTGGAAATTATGGACATAGTAGCTCACTGGAGAGGCAGCACTCATGACTCCAGAATATTTAATGAGTGTAGTTTAAAACGTAGGTGTGAGCAATCTGAGTTCAAAGGCAGATTATTAGGAGATTCAGGCTATGCCTGCACATCTTATTTATTTACTCCTGTCTTAAATCCACGGACAGAAAGAGAAGAACGCTACAACAGGGCACATATAAGAACCCGCAACTCAGTGGAACGGTGTTTTGGTGTGTGGAAACAAAGATTTAGATGTTTATTACATGGGTTTACCACCAAATTAGAAAATACAAAATTATATATTGTAGCATTGGCAATACTTCACAATATTGCCATTTACAAAGTTGATATGGTTGATGATATTGAACAATCAGGAAATGATGGTATGCCAGAAATACCTGCAATAAATAATACAATTAGAGGGAATGCAGCTCGAGCTGCGTTTATTAACGAAAATTTTTAAAAACAAAATTTATTTAATAAAATATTTTACAATTCATTATGTTTATTAGTATTTTTTATATTTTCCCTTTGTAATAAAATATTTTTTAAAGTTTCCTCCTGAACTTTTTTTTTGAGGCTATGTTCTTTTTCAACCATCCTATGCTCTCTTGCCATAATTCTCATGCGTCTCTTATGTTCAATTTCTAGAAACTCCATATATTTATTGTGCTCTTTTTCTTTTAGTTCAGTTGACAATTGAACCATACTTGCCACATATTCTTGATCCTGCAAATTATAATAATAGTTAAAATATGAATAAAAAGGAAAGATTTGGCAGTCAACTGTTACAATTTCAGCTTTATTTAAGGACCTAATACTACATGCATTAATAGTACATGACTTAGGGCCAGTTCTACAGTCCAGGTATAAATTGGAGAATAGTTATTCTGAGTATAACTCATTAAATCATCAACTGAGATTAATGTTGTAATATAATAACCAAAATTATGTAAATATATCTCTATAGGTTCTCCACATTTTAAACAAGTATAAATATTGGATTACAAAATATATAATTTTAGTTAAAGAAATGTTTATATAATACAGATTCTAGAATTACAGTCTCTGTTATCAAAACATTAAAAAATTATTGCCTCAGTAAGATTATACCTATACAATAGTAGTCATATGAGTAGAGGTTATTACATTACATACATATCATAAAATTTTAGAATTGAAATAATAAATGCTTTCTTTGAACACAAATAATAAATGCTCTGAACACCATTAATGAAGTTATTCCAAGTATAAGTTTATTCTCAGTATATACTAGCATTGTAGAACCAGCCCTTAATACTACATGCACATAGCAGTTATCAGAAGTTATATAATTAAATACCTTTGATATAGCCTGAGATTTTGCAGCACCTTTTTTTAAATTACCTTTGGATATCTGGAAAAATAAAAGTTGATTAAAATACTGACTATGAGAACTAAGATAAGAATATATAAACATCATATATATATATATATATATAATATATATATATATATATATATATATATATATATATATATATATATTGGGCAACCATCAATTTAAATTTCAAAAGTATTCAGCTAGTGTATGCAGAGGTTTATTAGGTCATTTAGTAGCAAAAACAAATAGCAGTCAGCTACTTCATTGATTTAATGAAAATGTTATCAATGGTAGGTTTATTTCTTAACCTTTGTCATCTTTTTTTGTAGTGAACTGATGAAGTCTTAGAAATATAAAGCAAAATGTTTTATTAAGTCAATGAAGTAGCTGTCTTCTATTTTTTTTTTGCCAAATAAAATGACAGAATAAACCTTTGCATTCCCTAGCTGAATACTTTTGGAATACATACTGTTAATTAAAATTTTCCAAAGATGCTGTTTTTTATACCTACATACCTTCTTACTAATTTTGCGTTCTACGTTTTTAAAATTTTTCCTAATGGGAGTGGAGATGCACGGTATGTCCTTTCCTTTCGATGTGCTTGCCCCTTCATTAACAAACTAAAATAATAATATGTATTACACAAACAAAACTTAATTATAATTAAATGAATATTTGTAAACTATTGTGCAAATATGGTCATTAACTCATTATTTAGCCCTGGCACATCAAATCAACTAACCTGTTTCATTTCTTTAATCTCCACATGTTCACTCTCCACCTCTGTAAATTCTTCACTCTCCATTGGTGACAATATATCATTCTCAAATATCTGTTAAAAGATGTTTTCATTAATCATATACATAATTAAAAAATTTAAATCTTTGATAAATCTACTGACCTTTAATTGGGTGTCCACTTCTTCACTAGTACTTGGTTCTTCATAAGTTGATAATTGTATTATCTGTGAAAAACAAAATTTATTGTAATGTATATAATAATACCCTATTATATGAAAACTCACAGGGCCATCAGAATCATATACATTATGATCTCTCAACAATTCTGCAGGATTCATGATGTCCTTAATCTCCATCACTATCTCATCTGGAATTGTGGGTCCCTGTCCACCTCCTGTCTTTTTCTGCTCTCGAGTATAATCGCTGTAAACCTTGCGGGCATTCATTTTCATATGTTTCCATTGGGTCTGCAATTGTCTTAAATCCCTAGGTCTGCTATTTAATTCATTGAACCTAAACAAAAACAAAGTTGGGGAACTGTTAATTAAACAAATTGATTAAATAAATATGAAATTTCTGTGTACTTTTTACAAAAATGTTTATATAGGTATTAATAATTAATAAAATTTTATTAGAACTTATAAAATATCTCACTTTTGATGAACTGCTTCCCATGCTTTTGTTTTTGATTTATTGGAGTTTGCATTTAAAGATTTCTCCTCTATGATGTGGGAATAGTCTCTCAAAATACTACGAAACAATTGCTGGAATATTACAAAAAAAAAACAATCAGAACTAGCAAAATTTCTAATATAAACTTTTAAGCAAATTACTTACCCTTTCTTCTTCATCCCAATTCATTGAACGAATACGTTTTGCTTTTTGTTCGGTCATTTTAAGTTAAAAAGTTTAAACTTTTCAGGTAAAACAAATAATATAAAATATAAACAAACTTTCTCACAACACAACACAGTCAAGTCAACTAAAATTAACCCCACGTGCTTCAACTTCAACTTATGCTAACTGTCAAATTCTCAAATATTTTTCTTCTTTTTCACAAAATTCACTCAATTTTTCTTCTTTTTCGCAATGGTTGCCAACGTAAACTTGTTGTACCTAGGACTAAGGAAGGTTTAGTTAGTCTGAGCTTAGTCCATGTTTATTAATAACATTCTGAAAATGAAGTTAGTCCTCGCTTAATCTGGGACTAACTAGTCCGAGACTAACTTCGGACTAAGCAATTTTATTAATAAGACTGTAAGGGCGTAGCGCAAAATTACTCGCACCAATGTTTTTACTTCATTCGTTTGTCCATTTTTTTTTAATCCTAGAAAATAATAAGTTTTTAAATAAATATAACGCAGAAATGAAAGACTAACTAAAAAAAGTTTTTCAAAATACTTATTAGTTTTCTCCGGTATCGAAAAAAATGATTACATATAAACTACATCGAAAATTTGACAGGCGTCAAAATTTTGCATTCTCTTTCTGGTAATTATTTACTAACCCGAAACCGCCTAAAAATGCCCAATTTTTTGTGGACCGAAAAAGTGAAAAAAAAACCTCAAATTTTAATGTTTTCTTTGCTAAACTATTAAAAGTGGCAAAATAATTAAAAAATCAGAAAAATACCAAAAATGTATTATTAGAACAAAAAAAATTACATAAAAAGCAAAGGTATATATAATTGTCTTAGGAAGAAAAAACGTAGTAAATATGGTTTTTATCCTACCTGGTAGTTTTAACACCTCGAACTTCAACAAGAGAAAAACTTCGCTTTTTGATGTAAGTTCCCACCAAAACATATCCACTAAGGGTAAATTTGTCAGACTGTCGCTTTAA